TCATCTGAGACTTCAGTTTTCAAGGTAAAAAGCCAGGATATCAAGTTTTTCCAAAAGGAGCATGGTGATCTGACCAAGCTGGTCATCTGGTTTTGCATAAACACAGGGCAGAAAGGTGGGAGGAAGGAATAACTAGCCACACTTAGGGATCATCTTTTCACAAATCCCCACATGATTTTCAAACCAAAAAATAATCTATTCAAGGGACTTTATTCTCTCTCATAGAATGAAGTACATGAAAGGCAACAAAACCACAAAAAACAAAAAAAAACCCTCTTACATTTTCCTGTTGTTTCCCCTCACAGGTCTTAAGTGCTAAATATATTACCTAGGAGTCCATTATGCCTTAAGTAGGCCCTTGAAATATTTTGAAGCTTTCTTATCTGTTTAGTCTCATGCTGCTAGAAGTATAGCAAAACATAAAGAGAAGAGTGACCTTATAAACTTTTTCCTTGTTTGCTCAACTGGTTATTCCTGAAGTGGAAAGGGGGAAAACTTGCATTTCAAAGTCAGTTTTGTGGTGGATGCTATTGTTGCTGTTGTTGATGTTATTATTATTTTTTGTTTTGTTGCAAGGCTTTTGTTGCAAGGTGTACCACACCTATGCTCTGTGGTAACAAAGGTGAGCCAGGGTGGCATGCAGACAAGGAAGGGTAACGGAAGGGGAGATTCCTTCAGAGAAAGAAAACCAGTGGACGGTAATTTGGAATTTGCATTTTTGTGGAAGTAACAAGTAATTCAGAAAGTTCAACCGCTGCTTTAAAAAATAGCGAAGACAGGAGTACAGTGAAATTATGCAGGTTTAGGCAACAATCATTGCATACTAAGTTTATTTTTCAGATATCCTAAAAACCTGGAATTCTAAAATGATCAACTGACTTATAACTCTACGGCGAATGTCCTCTTTTCTTACAGAGTATAGATAGTTTCCTTTCTGTTGAAAAAGTGCAAATCATTTTACTCTAGGTACCCTGAGTTTTAAACATATAGTACTTGGCAGTCCACACTGCTCAAATATAATAATATGTGAACACAGCCACTTCTGGAATAAGCGAGTCCAACCTACTTTAGAACAATCAGCACTGCCCCCCTTTTCTCATAGGAAATTTGTAAATGGAAACAATAGCAGGTATCAGAACCAAGAATATCTACTCTATAGGCACATAAGTAAGGAGACATCAACAGTTTCTCAGTAAAAAGTAAAACTCAGTGGCATTCAAAAATATTTATTAAAATATCTTCTATAAAGTGACACAACTAGTATCCTGCAGGGTCAGAAGGGCAGGTCAGCTTCCTGACAATATTCCAACATAGCATATAAAAGCTATTGGTTATCAGTCAACCCTGGGCCAACCTTTACACCAATACTGTTCTTTGCATTTACTAAAGTCACACTGCTAAATGCAAGTCTGCTGAACACTCAAATCCATGCTGTCTGTTCTGCCTCTGTGGGTACAGAGCAAATTCCATTTAGAAAATTTATCACTGAACTGGTATTTTATTCAATCCAATATCATATAATATAGGAAGAATCAATTACTTGTACAGAACAATGAGCCAGGGGCTGGGAATCGGAAATCTACATAATTGCCAGTTTCTCTTTTAAGGGTGAAAAAACAATCACTAGAAATGTGTATTCTCAAAGAAACATTATGGACATGTCTAAACTGTGCAATAAATGTTAATCAGATTAACTTTTTCCTTTCAAATTTCCCTGTTTGGTGATGAAGATTTGCTGTGAGCTAACATCCATTACCAATCTTCCTTTTTTTTTTTTTTGTTTGAGGAAGATTGGCCCTGAGTTAACATCTGTGCCAATCTTCCTGTATTTTATATGTGGGTCACCACCACAGCATGGCTTGATGAGTGGTATAGGTCTGCGCCCGGGATCTGAACCTGTGAACCCAAGCTGCAGAAGCAGAGTGTGCCAGACTTAACCACTATGCCACTGGGCTGACCCCTCAAATTTCCTTTTTATTCTAAGTTGACAGCCCTTTCCTCATTTCCTTTTTTCTTCTAATTAAGTATATATCCTAAGCATACCCTGTAAATTCTCCATCTGAAATTTCAATACCAATGATGAAGTACAAAGCGAAAAGCAGCAGAGACATGTCAGTCTGCATGTCACAAATAAGCCAGAAAATCACGACCAATGATGATGCACACCTCTCTGGTGGCAGCGATATCCGAGAGCTAAGCTGATGACACTGAACACTGAGTCCACTTCGAAAATGTCTGTCAGCATCAAGGCTACGGAAGAAAATATTAAAACAGGACACCAAACCATTTTTCCCCTTCCCACTGAGTGTTTATTTTATAGCTTTTGCATCAGGTAATCAACTGAGACACTTCAACAACAGAAAGCTGGCAGAATGTTAAGGGAAAGGAGTGATTATCTCTCCAACAGATGTGACAAAATGGTTTCAAGTTGGAAACAGTATTGCATAAATAAGTCAACTGAACGGGGGAGGGGAGAGAGAAGAGAAAAAAAGCCGAGTCAGATGAAGGAGTGAGCATCTTCCAACATAGATTGGGAGGGAAAAAAGGCACTGTTTAGCTGTGTATTTATAAAATAAAAGTAAAAATATACAACCCATGTTTCTCAAAATTACATTCGATGCTGCTTTAGAGATGCTCACATAGCTGACTCGCAGTAGAAAGCTACAAAAGCTGTCTAAAGACCAGATAGACAGCACCAGCGTGTCTAACTCACAGGGTTAGCTGCAATGTGTTTTAAAGAGATCATCACCATTAGGGTCCTTTTATAAATAGTACTGCAAAGGTCACAAAGCTGCATGAACTTAAATTATAGGATAAATCTGACTGACTGATGGGCCATTTCAGTTTCTCAAATTCCCACTGCAGGAAATCAGGAGGTTAAGCTCCGCTCGGAGGAGCTGAATTGGCAGTGCATTTGAAACAGGGCTGCTTTTCCCCTCACCAGGCTGCCTGAACAGCAGGTTAGCTGGCAACACACAGCAACTTTGCAGAGGGTGAATGGATGCAAAAATTTAACAGCAACCACCCTGCTTCCTCTCAAAGTAAATAGCACTAATTTATGAAAAGGCGAATTTTCAAATCATAAAGTAGAAGCACCTGGGCCTCTTCAAGACAAACTTCATAAAAGGTTACTGTAGCGGGTGCTTCTCAGAATAAAGGATTCTAGGACTATAGGTGTGTTTGAGAATGATCAGTGGGAAAACCCAGAGAGATGGTTTACACAGATGTTCTCTATGTAGAATTTGAATATAAATTAAAATACCAGCTATGCACTTGGGAACCAGCCTTTAGTTAAATTCTCTAGTGCTTTTAGAATTTTTATTTCATTTTATTAAAAAAAGAGAATCACTGTCTACAAACTATTTTCTTTCTAACTATGCAAATACAATAAGCAAATCACCTGCAATATCAAAATACTCTTTGTAAATCACTGATGGCACTAACAATTTTAGGAATTTCCAATAGGACATATATTGAGAGAGATCAACAGTAGATTTCAAATTATAGGCATTAACTGAATTTTAGGAATAGAAAATAAAATTTAAAGTTTAAACATTAAGTTTAAGTTCTCTGATTCTCAATAATTTAATCCAATCATCAGGAATTCAGAAGCACCCAATATGTTCAAAGTTGCACAAATGCATATGGATGACAGAAAAGTAATCCCCATGCGGTATTTTAAGTGTTGCTATCAGATATATTTAAGTGATACTGCACAGATTAAAGCTGGGGTAAAATCAAAATATATCCTCCCCATTACATTTTAAAACAGTCACAATAATTTAGCAACAGTTGCCATTTCACAGCAATTAGAAACAAGCAGTTGATACAAGTTGAACAAAAAGGTACTCTCTTTCCTCTTTTAGGAAATAAACATATATAGATATAGATATATACACATACACACAACACATTATCTTTTGAAATTCAAAGTGGTTAATTTGCTTTAGTATTATATAAAAAAAAATTTCCCTATGATCAAAATACTGAAAAGCACAAAGGCTGAAAAAAGAAAACCACATTTGCCACTTTAAAAAAATACATTATTGTCCCAGTGGTTCTATTTATTTGATTATAAAGTTAGGTATTATAAGGGTCTGCACTGGGCAGACTCCTAGGACTATACTGGACCAGATGGAATTAAGTCTAACCCTTTCTCAGTCTCCAGGAAGGATACTCCTAACCCGCCCTAAAGAATGACAGAATAAATGCCCCTATTCTGAACTGTTAAACTGGGAAAGAAAACACGCCCACCTAGAAGCAATCTAAATCATAAAAGTTTACAAATCTGTGGGAAAGACCACCTAAATCAGAAAGCTATTCTTTGGATATAAGTTGGGAGCTTTTGGAAGTATATAAACTCTTTTAGGCCACTAGAGTACAGATCCCAAAATGATTTTTCCATAAATAATTTCTCTTATTACAGGGGTTGGAAACTACAACCCAAAGCCCATATCTGGCAGGTCACTTGTTTTTGCAATAAGGTGTCATTAGAACATAACCATGCTCATTCATGTATGTATTGTCTGTGGCTGTTTTGGGCTAAAATGGCAGAGTTGAGTAGTTGTGACAGAGACTGTATGGTCCACAAAGCCTAAAACATTTACTCTTTGGAGCTTTACTGAACAAGTTTACTGACCCCTGATCCAGTGCACTGAGTGCTGTTCTAGTTACCCAAACGAGTTAACGCACCTCAAGAAGATTCAGCATATACTCCAAGAATAACCTGCATCCTGCGGTTCCTCAGCAGATAAACATCAAACACCCCACCTTGAAGTGGTGCCTTACTTTCAGGCAAGGAAATAGTTTGTATGTATTTCAACAAATAACTGTAAAAGTTAACAAGTACAAAAAAAAAAAGAAAGAAAGCCAAATAAGAAAAGTATGCCTGTCGGTGTTCTCTTAATATTTTCCTATTATTGGGGGGAAAGGGTGTTAAAATGATTCTTTCTGTCAACTTCCTTTAGCCTTTCTTTAAATTTGTTTATAAGTGTTTTTTGATAAGTACTGCTCCCTCCTCACCTCCCATACAATTAATAACCTTTAAAGCAACCTGCCTAAAATGCTTACATTTAGTGAGGCCCTGTTCAGGAATATTTATTTAAACTAAACATATTAAAGATCATTCTTTTAGAAAATGTTTCTAAAATTCTTTATCTCTGTTAATCTAAGAAGGGGATGAAGGTAAAGAATGTATAAGGAAATTAAATGCTGCAAAATATACCTTAAAAACCAGAGGTATAAAATAGCTACCATTTCTGAATGGTAATGTAAAATAAAAACAGAAAAATCTTCCGAATTTGAAGAGCCAATTTCCCCTGCCCTGAGTCGACTAATGAAGTCTTTTTCAAACAGGGAACCTCCTCAACTCAAGCAGCTGCTCACGAATCTTTAAGAGTTCACAGATGTTTCATATCTCAATAGTTGTTGAAACAGGGAAGATAAAACACTGAGAAGATATTTATCAAACACAAATTTATATCAAGATTAACTTTTTCAACCAGTTTATAAGTGGACTTTTCCCTTTCTTTGTTAAAAAATGAATGGTATGAAACTACATGTTAAAGATGTTTCCATAATACCTTACATTTATAGAGCGCCTTACAAAGTGCTTTCATATGCCATCTCATTAAATCCTCACAACACCCCTGTGAGGTAGGTACAGCAGGTATTATTATCCTCATCTCGAGATGAGGACACTGAGGCAAAGAGAGGTTAAGTGACTTGCCCAAGGTCACACAGCTGATAAGTGGCAGAGCCAGGACCAGAAATCAAGTTTTCTGACTCCTTGTCCAGTACTCTTTCCACTGTAACTACTGCCCCCAATTATGAATAATGTACTGTATATCAAAAGTGGAAGGTTATTGAAGTTGATTTCAGTGATATCTTAACAGTAAAGTTAAATGAGAAATACAAGAACAGTAGGTCTGATGGTTTTACTTGACATAAAATTGGTGCAAAACCATTTTTGTCTAATTACTTATAACCTTTTGGTCCAAATACATAAAATATGCAGTATTTACAGCATTTTCCTTTTTTTTGTAAATGCAATGCTTTAAAACACATTATAAAGCACCTTAGTAAAAATAGTCTACAAGTAAAAGTACAGAATAAGTAGGAAAATCCTACCCATACCACAGCTCACTAATGGAGTTATAATATGGAGTCACCGATATCTCAGTTTACAGCTTTACAAATTACCCATGGAGAAACAAATACCAAACTTACATTTTTGATATTAATGTGTGGAAGCCTTAACTAAAACTTCAGGCAATGCCAACATTCTTTGAAGTATCTCCCCAATCTTAGATCACAGGGAGAAAGGAATGAGAAATACTGCTTTGACTCTTTGTATAGTATTAGTAATGGTTTAAATTGGTTTTCAACACTAATGATTATTTTTTTAAAGAAAATTAAAATGACATATAAATATGGGCAATTCCATCTACAGCAGAGACATTTCTTAGCAAACATGATCAAACGTTCCAATAAACTTCATGACACGTGATTCACAAAAACAAAGCACACACTGCCAAACAGTCCATAACACTATTCAGTGGAGGGCAATAAACCAGACCTCCAGGTGAAGGTGGAAGAGACAGATGGATTCATCTTCGTTCATGATTAGTGGAAAAAAATGCTTTATCAAAAACAGAATGTCAGAACTTTTTCTGAAATTGAATTTGCCTTCAATTAGACCTGCTATGTGTTTATTTTAGGTGATGTGTAGGTTTTTTCCCAGGCAGGAGATTATATAACTCCCACCAAAATTTAACCAGAAAAAAAAAAAAGGCTGAAACTTAAACTTCTGAGACCACTGACATACCAGCCAGTATCTACTTCCTTGACGTTACTGTGTGTTTCCTAACTCGGCTCAACGCAAACTGTCTTATACACCTATCAGCAATCCAGGTTGTGGAGCTGAGAACTAAGGTGAAGACAGGGGCAAAGTTATAGTTCAAGAATCTAACAGTCACACCTTGTACTCAGTTCGATTTAGGGTATATTTTTTCATAGAAAAAGTTTTGTGCGAGGATGTAGAGGTCTCCATCTTTTTCCCGTACAGCATGCGCTCTGATGAATTGGAACTGCTCTAGTGCAAATTCATAGAACTCATTCTCCATCTTCCAAATGTCAGATTGCTGTAGTTTTGCAATGGTTTGTTTAGTGGGGAGTTTCTTCTCTGTGGTTTTCCTAAGATGCGATTTCTTTCCTACTTAACAAAGGAAAAAAAGAAAAGGTAAATAATTCTGAGAACACACAAAAGGTCAATGCCTCTTTATTTGAAGACATGGTTTAAGTTAATATGACACAATGAAGGACAGGTAACATAACTGTTTAGTATTAATATCATTCAGGCAAAAATGCTTACCTAATCATACTAGAACTGTGACTTATTGTATTATAATGTAAATCATTAACCTGTTAAAGACTTAATGAGATGTCAAATAGTAATATAAAGACTGCCACTAAGTGTAGGCTGTCACCTTACATGCTATATTCTCAAATATTTGGTGCTATCACTAGTTCATTTTTTAAAATATGATAAAATATCTATTTTCAAACTTAATACTAATTTTTTATAATCTATATTCTCTATAATTATGTGTTAGAAGCTAGGGCATATACAGACCCTAGGAAAAGAGTTCCTATGATTGTATCTTACCAAAGAACAGCACAAAAACCCTAGAATTAGACTGGACCAACACAGTCACTTTCAGATATGCGATATTGTCAAAGCACACTTTTAGGAGTACTATAATGTAACAGACATAGCATATGATGATCACTATTAATGTGACTCAGTCTCATCTTCCCACCTCTACTCTAAATGGCATCAGGCAGGTCTAAGGGTGGAATACAGAGTTTGGTATCTGCATTATTGAATATTACACATTTCTAAGGCTGGTTCTGTAGTTTGTATCCTTCTGCTATGCTTACGATGCCTTCTAATTATCATCTAATGCACATTTATTAATTCAAAAAATATTTAATGAACACCATCTGTGTGTCAGGCACCGTTTTATACTGACAATGGTTAGGAGAAACAGACAATACACCTGCCTCTGGAGTTACTTTTTATGGTTTACTCAAGAACGTCAAATCACACATATTTTTCAAGTTGCAAACAAAGTGAAGGACAGCTTTCAGAAGAAACCTGTCCTTTATATACCTGTACGGTAGAGTTCTGTAGCACCCCTGAAGAAACGGGGCAAAGCTGCCTCCAATAACATGATAAAATCTTCAAGCTCTTCAGTCACTCCCACTAGAAAGTATTCATTAATTAGGTTATACTTGGCTTGATCCATAGCCCACCTGCTTCCCACATTCCTAAAACCAAAGGAAAGGAATTAAAAACCTGGTTGTGAAATCAAAGTATCTTTGATGCCTCTGACACTATATATTATGGAGAAAATAGATAAACACATGTCCATCCAAAGCCTTAATGCCCTTTTATTGATGTCCTCTGGGAGGCACACCTGTTCTGAATTTCCTTTGCCTCTATCCCCAGTTTCTGCTCAACTATGCAGTGCTAATTTAGACTTTACTAGAGGACACTTAATATACACAACGTTTAGTTTGACGGCAGTTAAAAAATGTATATGTATATAACATATATTCCCCCCATCTGATTTAGTGTGAGTGCATTTGATTTTTTTAACTATTCTAAACTAAACTCTGTTCATTTTAAGAGCTCTCTAGTAAGGAAGGTCTAAGCAATTTGTGTTTAGCGCTTATCTTAATTTAATTTGTGAGTTTAGGCTTTTCTGAAGTTTCTAAGGAACAGAAATAAGAAGCAGCTCTGCTAAGAATCTTTTATTTTTATTTTTTACATTGTCAGCTAATGGCTGTTAATAGAGATTTGGCCCTAAATAAACTCCACTTTTGGGTTCTTTTTAGCACTGACATTCCTTAATCCTAACTCCAGCCCTCCTTTAAGCAGTGTGATATTGAGCTGGTGACGTCACCTCTCTCACTGTGTTTTCTCAGCCATTAAAAAGCTGGGGGTGGGGAGGGATAAATTAGTTGATTTCTAAGGTCCCTCCTAGTTCTATGAATCTACGAAACATACTAAAGATGTTTAATTAAAATCTCCTCAATAATGCCCAATAGAACAATATCCTTTATTGTTTTAAGGCAGGAGTTGGCAAGCTTTTTCTATAAAGGGCCAGAGAGTAAATATCTTAGGCTTTGCAGGCCATATGGTCTTGGTCACAATTACTTAATGGTGTCTTACAGGGTGAAAACAGCCATAGACAATAAGTAAACAAATGGATCTGGCTGCGTTTCAATAAAAATTCATTTATATAAACAGGTGATGGGCCAAATTTGGTCTTCAGGCTATAGTTTGCCAATCCCCATTCTAAGAAAATGATTAAAAATTGAGAAGACATTTTTCCAATGCTTCCAATTCTTTTAATGCTATTACTATGTTTTGATATAATCTACTGAGTAGGACTTTAAGGTTCACAATAACCACATAACATGTCTCAAATAATGAAAAAAAGAACAGAAAGCAGTCCTTGCATTTCTCATTATGGTTTTAAGGAAGATACTAACTTTGAATGTGTTCCTGTGTTTTTCTAATTTTCCTATTAAAATGATTGATTAGAGCAAATAAATACATACAGTAATTTTTAAAAACTGAAAACTCAGCACATCCTGAGAAAATAAACTATTAAGGATAAAATATCTTTATTTTCCACCTCACGTTTATTAGCAGATTAAACCACATCTGTAACCTTGGCTTCTCCCAAAGCCAAAATCAGTTTAACAGTAAAACCAGGTGAATCATTTACCCACTAAGCCTTTTCTTGATCTAACATGAACAGGCTAAAACAGTAAGCTAGGGAGAAAATGAGGTTTTTGAAATGACCCCTGACCTCTAATTAAGAGCTCTGCTGGAATATAGCAAAACATGTAACATCAAAAACTAACAAAAAAATTCAAAAAACCAGCATCTGAGAAAACATTGCATGGATATTATATATGAAGAATCTACTTAATGCACTTAAAGGTAACCACAAAACTAGATATTACTTAATTACATGTTTATTTTAGTCTGGTCTTTCACTAACTTCCTTATCCTCCTGGCCCTTGACTAACACATTCACACTTGTGAAATACAAATTATAGAGATAATAAAGGAGATTATCAATTTAAGCCAACTTTATCTCCCTACCAGCATTCCGAGCTGTGGCCACAGAAGAACGGGATTTGAAGCCAGAGCTTCTCTGGAGCACAGTCCGAGCCGCCCTCAGCTACACATTCATCGAAGGTCTGGAACCAAGACAAAGAGCACACGTGAGCCATAAACCAAGTCTCACCTATCAAATGTCTTAATGTGGTAAGTTATTAAATAAACGGGCAGCACGGGTGGGATGAGACAGTGAATGAAAGGGGCAGGCAGCTTACATAGTTGAGATACTGAGGAAGGCTAATCATGGATTTTTCTCACATCTTTGTTTTATGCCAATGTTTATAAGAATTCTTTTACTATATGAATGGAAACCCCTCCAGATAATTTTCTGTCTTGAAAGTAAGTACTGGTTTATGTTGAATTTGTGTATTTTTATTTTCTTTCTCCTTACCAAAGGAAATTAAATAAAAACAAGGCTAAAGATACTCTTTTGTGAAATAATTATTTAAAAAGAATATAAAGTAGGACTATACTTGTCTTTTCTCCTTTTCTCATTAAAACAAGCAAAAAACAATTGTACAAAGAAGAAACGACCTCAGACACTTACGACTTGCATGCCCTCCTCTTCAAATGCATCTGACTGAATTAATTAAAAGAGAAAGAGACTCATAGGTTATAAATCTAAAATGAATCAACTTCACTTTCTTGAGGACTTACTGTCTGTCACAGGCATTTTAGCATTAGGCATTATCTATCTGAAAAGATATAATACTGAGATACCAGAGAACAAACTTGGGAGCTTTGTGTGTTGCAGTCAGGCATCTACAAATACAACCTGTTGTTTCTGAGAAGAGGAAGTGTGAAGGAGCAGAAGGAGGACTCGTCCTGAGTCCAGGTGCTCGAGTTTCCAGAACCAGGTTTGACCTCTATTTTAAGTAAGTCTTTAAGGCCTTCAAATCTCACTTTCTACTCCATAAAATTAGATAAACTCAAAGGGCCCTTTCAACCAAAAATCTATGAGAATAGGGCCAAAAAATCCTCAGATCTGGTACAGGTGGAGCTATAGTGGAATGATTCTCTTGATTCTGGCAACATTCAAGAGGCAACAGCAAACTGCAGCCCACAATTTATTTGCCCATTTCATTTACAGATGACTTTCGCTACGATATAGTGAAAAGCTCTTTTGATCTTGAATCCTGAACCTGGAAAACTTAAGTTTTGTGTTAGTTTCCTTATTTAAAAAAGGAGGACATAATCTTACTTTGAGGAAGAAATAAAATCAGGGATGTAAAAGAATCTACCACAAGGACTAGTTCACTGTAGGCATTCAATAAACGGGATGTAGTCTGTCTGTGCGTCTCTCCACCCCTCCTCGCTAATAGTGAACTACAATGTTTGCTGGTTCTTGTTCTCCTCGACCACCATAGCACGTGGCCCACTGACCACTCCTCCTTTCTGAAAATCTCTTGGTCTCTCTGCCACCAATAGACTGTTGTCTTTTTCTTTGAACACTCCCCTTTCTGGCTTTTGTTGGTTCTCTGTATCTTTCTGAATGTACCATCATCTTCTTTGAAGGCATGTTTTGTTCCTTCTACCAAGTACGGCAATTCATCTCAGCTCTCAGCTATCTTCTCTCTGCCCACTCCCTTCCTTAGCTTATTCACACTTCCTTGGCTTCCTTTATGATTCCTAGGCAAAAGGCTTTCAAATTTGTACCCCCATATCCATCACTTATCTATTTTCTAATACCTAGTGTGCATTTTCATTTGAATTCCTAGTATTACCTCATATTCAATATTTCTGGCAACAGAATTATATTGCCCCTTGTAATTCAGACTCAAGATCTCAGAACATTTCTTAATCTTTCTTTTCCCTTACCTCACATCCTTGAGGTAATGTCTTTCCAATCCATCTTTTCTTTTTCAATCTTATTTCCATCAAGATCTCACAATGTCATGTCTCGATTCTTACAATCACTTCCTAATTGGGCTCCCTTCCCTCCCTTCCTTCCAGTCTGCTCTGTACAGTTGCCAGATTAATCCAAGTAGTCAACTTCCAACATTCTCTACTCAAAAACTTTCCATGGCTTCCAATATCATAAAAAAAAAAAAATTCCAAAGTCTTTATTCTGGCTTTGAGGAATGCTTCATACTCTGACCTCAGTGTGCTAGTTCCAGCCTTATCTCTATGTGTAACTTCCCTCTTGACCACATTAACCTGTTTTGCAGTTTCTCAAGCACGTCATATGTATTTCCAAATCTATATACCTTTGCTGACTACATTTTCTTCCTCTGACAGTGCCTTCCCTCTCCCAAGCTGGTTTACATGAAGACTATCTTTCCAATGACTACTCTGGCCTAAAGTCACTCCTATTTTCCTTGAACTCGCATAAATTAATTATATACTGCCTCATAACAGCCAGCTCTGAGGATCCAGGTATATATATCTATATATACATCTTTATCTAAAGAACTTGCTTTGTGTACTTTTTTTTTTCACTGTAGTGAAAACTTCTTGGAGGGATCATACAATATCCACTTGTGCCCTCCATGGTACACAATATATTGCTATAGAAGTTGTCTGCACAATCAATGTTTGTAAATGGCTGGAAAGACTGCACTTTGGGGATTTACATGGGTATTAAAGGCACAATTCTTGTGGAGATGAAGACACGGGCAGTGAAATTTTTTCATGAAGAATTTTGACAATCCCTGAGAGTTCTCTCAAATTCTCTTGAGATCTCTCTCTACACACACACACACGTACACATACATACACACATATAAATAAATCCATAAATAACTTTAAGTGAAAAGACCTCAGTTTACACTTAAGACTCAATAAATCCATTTCAATAGCCATTACATTATTTCTGAATTTTACTAGATGGTCTGACTTAGATTTGCTGGCCTAAGTCACTTTCTAAGAAGTTGTTTTATCATCATTTATGCTAATTTGTAGCTCATAAAAATAAAAATAAAACCACCTATGTGTCTATCTATCTCTACCATGTCCCAATTTCTAAGAAATCTTTGGCTTGATGAACCAAGTAATGATATAGCAGAAGGTTTCTGACTCTATGCCTCTCCAATTTCAGACAGGCCCTAGATCATAGTATGGTGCTTCTGAAGCTCAGAGGTGCTTTGTTACACCTCTACCTGAGGTGTAGAGTACCAGACAGAAAAATAATGAATTGCTAAGGTAGACTGTGAGTTCACCCACAATGTCTACCACCATTTTGTGTGTGTGTGTGTGTAAGATTCAAAGACATTAAAAAGATTTTGCTTAAATGTAAGAAACTAGGATATTAAAAGAGGCTGCAGTATTAAAAGTTTCCATAGAGTTACTATGTGAACAACTTTGGGACTTGAAATATCCACTATTGGAATTAAAACTGATTAATGAATAAGCAAACAGGATGGCTCTTTTAACCCAAATTCTGTAGTTAGCCAACTCCTATATCCTGTGCTCTTGAAGTATTTTAGTGTTTCAAGCAAAGACAATCTGTAGATAATCTCCAAGTCTATTTTTGGCCAGCAGTTTTAAATCTGCTAGCCTACTCTGGAAGTCCAAGAGTTACCTCCAAAATCCATTCTTCCTCTCTTCCATAGTCATAGAGTTTAGCCTCCCTTGCAGTTAGGTATGGCTACGTGACTAAGTTCTTACCAGCGGACTGGAGGCAGAAGCGATGTGAGCAAGTTCTGGGTCACTTGGTTAAAAGGAAATTGTTTGCCCTCCACTTCCCTTCTTCCCATGGGCTGGAAGGCAGCCACAGTGGTGATCCAAATTCAATCAAGCACATAAGGACAACCCCCTAAAGAACAGCAGAGTAACAATGTGGAAGGAACACAGGTCCCTGAATGACAGTGTGGAGCAAAGCTGCTCCAAGAACCTGGGCCCCTCCCCTGTAGGCTTTTATGTATGAGAGAAATAATCTGATTCAAACTATTTGGGTTTCTTTGTTTTAGAAGCTTAGCATCTACCCTAACTAATTCAGCTACCAAATGTTTTATTAGACAATCTAAAAGTGGAAAAATAGTTTGGGTTTTGCCTCCTTTATGGTTCCTTCTAATCATCTAGGGGAGGTGTTTCGCTCCTATCAACTAAAAGAAACAATCCAAAGATGGCCAGTAGTAAGGAAGATGTAGAGGGGAAAAAAACCCCAAAACTATGAATAATCAAAAATTGGTGAACATACATGTGTGTGCCAGATCTTAGCATATAACAGAAATTTTCCCATTTCTATATAAATATTTGATCAATAAAGTAAACCAAGTATTTCCTAGAAAGAGACAATCAAATCAGCACAACTCAACACCATCTTTACTACATACAACCTGATGAATCGATCCACTGAGATCTTAGGATGAAGTGCTGCAGTGACCCCAGCAGTGACATCAGCACTTGGGCTTCTCCACTCACATCGCAGAAGACTGTCACTCAAATGCCTGGTCACCATGACTGTCCTGTTTATTTGCTCACTTCTATTAGCCTTTTCCTAAACATTCTGGTCACATTTCAAAATAGAATTTTCTATAAATAAATATTTTTCTCTTATAAAACAAACAAATCAAATAAAAACACTCCAAGCTCTCTTCCTCTCCCACAAAACCCAGCTCAGTCTACCATATAAATAAAGAGTTATGATCAGCTTTTTCACTTGAAAAAGATCTGTGCTTAGAAAGAGCAATTCTTTGTGAACTAGATACACATTTTTTTTAAAGGTTGATTTTTTTAAGTTTTTTTTTTAATGTTTTATTTTTTTTAAGAATTTATTTTTATTTATTTTTTTGTGAGGAAGATCAGTCCTGAGCTAACATCCATGCCAATTCCCCTCTTTTTGCTGAGGAAGACTGGCCCTGAGCTAACATCCGTGCCGATCTTCCTTCACTTTATATGGGACGCTGCCTCAGCATGGCCTGACAAGTGGTGTGTTGGTGTGCGCCGGGATCCGAACCTGGGCCGCCAGCAGCGGAGCGCGTGCACTTAACCGCTACGCCACGGGGCCGGCCCCAATACAAATGTTTTTAAAAGCATGAAATATTAAAATATTCTTGAGATCATTTAGATTATTAGTTTAGACATTTAACTCCTAAAATTGAAGGTTAAAAAAATTAAGCAAAATTTGATGCTTGATAGT